CTGAACCTTTTACTCAAAAGCTTGTTGCTCTGTGGAACCCTTCTCTTCAATGATAACCTCATTGTAGGTTTAGGAACCATTTAGGAAAGCATGCTGCACGTTTAGGAAACACCGCCACGGTTTGGGAAGTCTACTGCGGCGAAAATCAAGTTCCTGAGAAAATGAAAGCACTCTAATCATGGCGATGTCTGCTTGCTAGTTTGTGCGGCATTAGAACCATCTACGTGAAAGAGAAATCATTCCTCTTGAAGTTACCTTGAAGGTTTAAAGAAAGTTCCGGTCATAAATGTGACTTGCACTTTTGATATTGCTACTCATAGTCGTCAATGTCACGACTTCTCCAGTGGAATTCCATTTAGCCGACCCTACATACCACATCTTCAAAATTAGGTTAAAATCTCTTCGGCTAAAAATTTGTACCCGGAAATAACTCGACTTCCTGACAATATTACATTTATTCCCGACGCCAAAGCGGCGGCGTCGAATTGGTAATCTCATATCCACTGACGGATTTGGCAAAAGAAAGTGGGTGGCGCAGAATTGGCGCCAAACGGCTCCGACACCAAGTATGAACACAATAATCGCTCTACGGAGGTCGAGTACCCCCGGGCACGAATTTTTGCTAATAGCTGAGATTTTGACCTGACCCCGAAATGGTGTATTCCTAATAGTGCAGCCTACAGGGAACCCATGAGAAAAAGTTGTGGAAAGGATGCCCACTGGCACTATCAAAAACGGGCGTCATATTTTATGGTCAGAACCTCCAATCACCCTTCCAAATGGAGATCGAAGGGCAGTAATTTCTTTGCCGCCAACTTGGCTGTAATAGTGTATTTGCCTTAGGAACTAGGGACCAGGTGAGGCCAAACAAATTTTTGAAAATTTTTTAATTTTTTCAAAATTCCGATTTTTGTACATTTAGATTTCGATTTAAGTACATCATGACACGTCAATCCTCAAATTGAACTCACTGGGGGTTCTGATTCTGACCGCCCCCTTGTTTGTGGACCAACTAAACATCAAGGAACTGTGATGATCTCGAGGTACGGATGCTGCTTTTTATTATTCTGCTAACATACTCTTACAAAAACTATTACCAAAGGAATCATTTTCACCCAAAGCTCAAAAAAATTTGCTTTCAAAGAGATCGCCCAAAAAACTTCAGCAAAAAAGCCAGACGAGCCACTCACTCGAATCGGTTTCGTGGAGATACGCGGCAGTACACCAGCAAAACTGGTTAACAAAAAAGCTGCGAAGAAGGGTTAGGCAGCGTTCAAAGTTCGTGATCGTATATGCAGTTAGGCGATCATTTATAGAGAAAGGATATGTATCGATCAGGTGACTAGGCGATAAGCAATCGCTCAATGGGCGGAACTGACAAATCGATACGTACCCTTTTCTTATCGCCTACTCGCCTAATCGCCTAATCAATGTGTACACTTTCTTTTTGAAGCATCGCCTATTCGCATGTACGATCGCAGACTCTGAAGGTGACCTGACAACTTAAGCAACAATGCCGACAGTAGGCACAATTCAAAAAAAGGAAAAGATCTTGACATGCTCCAGAAAACAGCATGTACACGAGACTGCTACGACCATACTCGTGGCAAAGAGCAGAGAGGCGTCAAAAACCTGAATGGTAGTAGCCGCACGTGTGAACTCAGCCCATTTCTTCTGATGCACGACTCGCATTTCCGCACGTAACAGACGCAGACGGTAGAGACGCTTTAACTGATAACGGACGGCTAGTG